GAATGGAAGAGGAGTTCAGTGGATGTCACGTCTTTGGGAATGAACAACCAAGGTCAGGCTGGACAGGGCTCTGAGCACCCTGGTGGGGCTGGAATGTCACTGCTTGTGCAGGGGGAGGAACAAGATGATCCTCATGGTCCCCTCCATCCCAAACCATGATTTTATGAAATGCTGAAAAACTGTTTAATGACGTGAACCTCATAGCCTGGACCTGAATTCCAAACACTGGAATTCACCTGGATCTGACCTATGGATCCATTCATCCAGCAAACCTCAAATTGGAAAAGGCATGGAAAATCCCCAAAAATGTGGTGATAAAGGGGATTTTCTGAGCTCTGCTCTCTTGTGCTGGTGCATCTCACTGATTTAGAGCTGCCTCCTCTTGCTGGAGTTCTTGGATTGGGAGAGCTTTTATCCTGTCCTCCAGTATCCTTGGTGGGATGGTGAGGAGATGACCCTGAAGCAGGATCTTCAGAGGACTCTCAAATGGCTGATGATAATTCATACTTTTAAACTGGACTCTTATTTTGAATTGGATCATTCTTTTCCCACAAAAATGCAAACTGCAGCCATCTCAGTGGTCCCACTGTAAATTTTTGGRATRTTAATGAATTTGGAGCTYRGAGTCAGCRCCGAGGGGCAGCGCTAAACCAGGASCTGAATTTGAAATCTGCCTACAAATTTACATTAAACCCCCGATAATTTTGGTTTTTTTACCAGCTCCTTAAATAACAGCAATTGATGATCACGCACACCTGGAATCTTGATGCATCCAGCAGTAGATTCCTTTGTTTATTTTTAAAATTTAATTATTAAATGTGAGTTTTCAGYCAGCTGTTTGTTTGCTCTGTTCTGCTGCACAGAGGACAAAATAAATGTGATTTTTTTTTTGTGTGCTGTGTGAGCAGAGCTTGGCTTTGTCACAGGTGTCGCTGCAGCCGGGCACGAGGCAATTCCTGGAATTTTTTTTTGTAGGGAAGACATCAATTCTTCCAGTGGTGGCAACTCCTACCATTGCCAAATCCAGGTGCTACTTTTGGAAACAAAACCCAGCTTGGCCTTTAAATCTTGGTCCAACTTCCTCATGATTGTGAAGAAGCTCTATTTAATATTCATGATTTTTAATTTGGGTGATTTAGGGAACCAAAGGTGGCCTTTTGAAGCTGTTCTGTAGAAAACACCCAAGCAAAGGTTTTATTTTTCAGAGTTTCTTTGTGAAGAAGCAACAAACCTGTTCCAGTGTCTCATTTACACCTGAAGTGTGGCATTCAGCTAATTGAAAACACGGTTATTCTTAATTATTTTCTTGCAGCTCATTGACATTCATGGGGATCTTGTAGCTGCAGCCCCATAAATATAATATTACTTCCCAGTTTTTTATTTTGGCACTCAGTTCTCCTCTATTGGCATATTTATAGTCTCCTGTATAAATGAATAATTTTATTTATTATTTATTCATTTGAACTTTGCTGCGTCGGCGTTGCTGTACAAGTGTCAGGGGTGGAAGAAACTTTTTTTGCTGAGTTTCTTACCTGCCTACCAAATCTTCCAGTTACTTTCACAAAATAGGGGAACAAACCTTTGGATGGGCATATGATTTATGTTTATAATATTTCGTAGAATTTTATAACTATTTTCTATATTTTTTCTATAATTTTACCATTTTATGATAGGATTTTATACTATTGAATATTATATAATAGAATATTGTAATTCTATAATTATATTATAATTATATAATTATAATTATAATGTAATTATATCTATGTAATTATGTATAATATAATTATATATGTGAAATATATAATTATATAATTTTACAATATATATAATAGAATATTATATAATAGAAKATTTCTCCTTTATCAGTGATAGATCAGGACAATGAGCAGTGTCACTACAGACCTTCTGTAGTGCAGGAAAATCCAACTGGTTTGGTGATTTTTTATTTTGAGGGGGGACAGGGAGCCAAACCCAAAAATCAACCAAAAAAATGAATTTTCCATGGCAAATGAAACTTTCCAGGGCAAAATCTTCCATTTAGGGGGATATTTTTGGAACAACTTTTTCTGCATTGCCCTGATCACAGCAAGGCAGAGGAAAAGGATTTGAGCTCAGCTGGATTTGGAGGATGAGGATGGGTTTGGTCTCCTCTGYCATTGCTGTGCCCTTGAGCTGCTGTGTTTTACACCCTGAGAGCTCTGCCCGTGTGAATTTTATTTCAGTTCAGAGATAGAATCATGGGAAATATAGTTCAATTTTAAGAACTAAACCATAACCRCGTTCTCCTGAGCTTTATGGAATATTAATTTCATGTTTTCCTTGTCACCAGCCTGTTTAACTCCAAACACCAAAGGAATGTTCTGGAGATCTTCTGTGTTTTGGGGATTGTGGTGGTTGGACATGGAATATTTGCATTGGGTACCCATGGAGGTGCCTTGCAGAGATGGAATATTGGATATGGAATGCTAAATATGGAATATTAGATACAGAATGTTCGATATGGAACATGAAATATGGAATATCAGATATGGAGCATTCATATGGAATGCTAAATATGGAATATCATATATGGAACATTCAATATAAATGTTAATTATTGAATATTAGATATGGAACATTCAATATTGAGTGCTAAATATGGAATATTAGATATGGAATATTGGATATAGAACCTTTAATATGGAATGTTAAATATGGAATATTCAATATGGAATATTCAATATGGAGTGTTAAATATGTAATATAGATGGAACATTCAATATTGAATATTAAATATGGAATATTCAATATGGAACATTCAGTATGGAGTGTTAAATATGGAATATTAGATATGGAATATTGGATATTGAACCTTCAATATGGAATATTCAATATGGGATATTAAAAACTGAATATTGGATATGAAACCTTCAATATGGAATATTAAATATCGAATATTACATATGGAACAATCAATATTGAATGTTAAATATGGAATATTCAATGTGGAACCTTCAAAATGGAATATTAGATATGGAATATTCAATGTGGAACCTTCAAAATGGAATATTAGATATGGAATATTCAATATGGAATATTAAGTATGGGATATTGGATATTGCACCTTCAATATGGAATATTAAACATGGAATATCATAGGTGGAACATTCAATATGGAATATTAAACATGGAATATTCAATATGCAATATTAGATATGGAGCATTTAATATGGAGTATTAGATATGGAACATTCAATATTCAATGTTAAATATTGCATATTATATATGGAACTTTCAGCATGGAATATTCAATATTGAATATTAGATATGGACTATTCAGTATGGAATATTAGATATGGAACATTCAATATGGAACCTTCAATATGGAGTATTATATATGGAGCATTCAATATGGAATATTGAATGTGGAATATTGAATATAGAATATTAGATATGGAATTTGAGATATTGTGGCCCAGGGTGCCCAGAGCAGCTGTGGTTGTCCCTGGATCCCTGGAATGTCCCAGGGCAGGTTGGACATTGGGATTGGAGCACCCTGGGACARTGGGAGGTGTCCCTGCCCATGGATGGGGTGGATGAGATGATTTTTCAGATCCCTTCCAACCCCAACCATTCCATGAGTCCGTATTTGGGAGAGGATGATTTTTGGGGACACAGAACCGGCGATGAATTTTCAGCTTTTCTGTCACCACCAACTCTGGGAGGACACCAGGAACGATCTGTAAAAACAAACAAACGGTGAGCGATACAAAAATGGGAATTTGGAGAATATTTCATGGAATGAGCTCTGGGAAAACTTGTAATTAAGGCTGATTTAAATGCTGGTGGACAGGCCACGTGGTCCATGGAATTCTGATGGAGTGGTTGGCAGAGGATGAAGTTTGATTTATCCAAAATGTGGCTTTTGGTGTATTTTTGGTGAAGTTGCATGAAAACCCCAACAATTTCCAAGTCGTTTTCTACGTTTTTCTAGACACACCTGACATGCATGTGGGGTTTTTTTGCATTCTTTCCATTCACCATTATACAAGAAATTTAATTTGARTTTGAAATTTTTTTACATGCTTCAGGATTTAGAAACAATGGTAAGTAGTSGAATAACGGAACAAAGAAAAATCCCAACTTTTTAATGCATTCCTTGGGTGTTTGTTAAAAAAACTCAAAAACTAATCTTGACAAAGGGAACCAAGTCTGGACAATATGTGATGTAATTGTTATAATGATCACTATTAGATAATTATATAAAGATATTTTATTAAAAAATGATGAACCTGGAAAGTATTTGCATTGATAATTTCAGTGTGAAATCCTTCACAGCTTGTTAAAAATCCCTTGTCTGGTATTTACACTGCGGGACTTAGAGCTTTATATATTTTTAATAAATTCCTCTGTGCATGTGTGCTTTTAAAATGCATTTTCTAATTCTTAATGAGTCCCCTTAATCCTGGAAATTGAGAAATAGTGCAGATGAAAAGCCAGAACCATCAATTTGCTGCAAGCAGTGTCTCTTACATGAACACTCCAGTCACTCTGGTGTTGAAAATATAAATATTTTAAATTATTCTGTGTTCTTTCAGATTATGGGAGTGGTCCTGTGGTCAAGTTTTTCAATTTAGTGGATTCTTCAGCCAGTCTGAGTTTTTCCAGAGGAGTGATTCCTAATTAAAGAGGCCCAGCAGAGTTTTAGATGTACTTTTTAGCAAATACAAAAAAGGATTCGCTTCTTCCAAGCTACCCACCTGTTCAGAATTAGATTTTCCGAAGTTCAGAAGTGATTTGTGAGATAAAAAATGTTTTTGAAATAAAAAATTGACAATAACTCCCAGCATGCTGCGTTTTTTTTTTCTGTTTTGGTTCCGTTTTGGTTCCATTTTGGTTCTGTTTCCAAACCCGTTCGTTCAAACTCGGGCAGAGCTGTTGAGAAGGGGATGATTTTTCCCAGAACAATGGACAATATCCCTGATCCAATGTTTTTATTTTTCTGTTCCTTTATTTAGGCCAGGCAGCTGGAAGACAAGGACAAGGAGCTGAGGAAACACGATGCCTACTACAAGGAACAGCTGGCTCGGCTGGAAGAGAGGGTAAAACTGTTTTTTCTCTTTTAATGAAGATTTTTCCATTCATGCCTGCACCTTTTTTGACTTTTTTTAGGATGATAAAGATTAAAATTCTGGCCAGAGGGGTTATTTTTGTATTGCTGCTACTGTTTCTGGCTCAATATTGCCAAGGTGGAAGTTTTGATGGGTGAGAATGTTGTTTTTTTTACTAAGAAAGTTCTCACATTCGCTGTGGGATTTCATCTGTCACGGTAATTACAGACAGAAAAATAAAATAATGAGGTTATTTTCTACCAACACTGATGAAGAGCCAGTGGAAATGAATAAGTGTCATCAAGTAAGAAAAATAAAATTTAAAAAAAAAAGAAGTGTGAAGGGACATAGTGAATTTCTGCTTTCAGTGGGTGCCATCAGTGATTCCTCCATCAGTACACGCAGAGTTTAATTTTAAWTCCAAGTTTACACCATGTTTTAAAAGCACTTCTGCGTCCTTTTCTCATCACAGGCTTGAAATTAAACTGCAGAGAGCAGCTTGGGAAGCCGTGGGACTTGCTTACAGTGATTGAACATATTGCTGTTAACGTTCCTATTCTTTATAGGGTATTATTTTATAGGATGTTAATTTCAAATAATTACTGCTGTSATCCTTTTCTGGCTCCCAGGTTGGYTRTAACCTCCAGCCTGAATACATTTGCCTCCTTTACCCCTCTGCCTCCTTCCTCAGCTTAGATATTGTTAAATAATTCAGATTTTTTTTTATTTTTTAGTTGTGAAAATTATTAAGGAGATACATATTCATTAATGCAGCTTAGCAGGCGAGCAGAAARCCCCTTGTTTTTTATGGATTAGGARGAAAAACGTGTTGCATGAATTATCAGTGTGGATAATTGGGTTTAATGAATATTTTAAATCGAGGGTCTATCCGATACCATCTCAGTGTTTTGTCCTTCCTTCCCAAAGATGACATTAATGAAGTGCCACRTTCTTGGCAATGAAAAAGACTTTGAAAGGGTGAGGGGAAATTAGTTTAATGATCCTAAATTGGTGCAATATTTAAACAGCTCAAAATTAAGATCCTTCACTAAAAAAATCCGCAAAATACGTTTATTATTCTCCAGTAACTGGATGGGTGATGGGGGAAAAAGCAGCAGTGGGATCTCATCTGAACTGGCTTCTTTTGGGCTGGTTGTAGCTGTGCTCTTAGTAGGGAAAAATTCAAATTTTTTTTGCCTTTTACATCTTTTTAGAAGTTTTTCTTAGATATTTTCACATTCAGTTAGGTCATTGATACAGTGAGACTTCCAACGTATAAATCAATCCTTGTGGTGTGCAAGGGGGATAATGAACTTTAAATAACTTCATTTGAGTTCTGCTGGAGTGCCATCCCCCAGGTGATGTGAAATGGGAAAGTTCTGCCATCTCTTGGTTTGGAAATCTCCAGGATTTCGCCAAGTAGTTCTGAATTCTTGTTTTATTCCGTGGATGATGTTTGCTCCATCTTCAGAGTGGAGTTTTTGTGATGCCAAACTTTGTCTTTTCATTCTGACTTTTCGTTTGGGAGGTAAAASCCCTCTGCTTTTCCAAGCTGTCATCCAGTTTGTCATCAAGGGACGTTTTCATCTCTCTCCTACACAAAAAAGTGCTGTTCCAGCTCGGAAAGGAGTGAACTTTGTGTTCCAAATCTGATTTGGGGTTTCTTTGGGGAGGTGGAGGTTTCAGAGTGAAAACCTGGACAAGCAAAGGAGTCAGAGTTTCTGAAATCCCACCTTCCCCAAGGCTCCTTGGGGTCACCTGTGAGCTGCTGGAGGCAAAACTGGGGTTTCAACTGAAAGAAGGGAGATTTAGGTGGGATATTGGGAATTCCTGGCTGGGATGGGATTCCCAGAGCAGCTGTGGTGTCCCTGGATCCCTGGCAGTGTTCAAGGCCAGGCTGGACATTGGGATTGGAGCACCCTGGGACAGTGGGAGGTGTCCCTGCCATGGCAGGGGTGGCTCTGGATGGGCTTTRAGGTTCCTTCCACCCCAAACCATTCCAGGATTCTCTGATGACACTTTTCCCACTGCATGTCCCTAAATTCAGATCTCTCTTTCAGGACATGGGACAGTTCAGGGAAGGAACCTCCTGCTCTAAGCTGGGTCAGCTCTGGGACCAGCCCAGATTGCTGGATCCGTTCAGACATTTTAAACCTCCAGAGATTCCCCATCATTTCTGGATTTGCATGATTTACCTTTTCTTACAAACTTTTCCCTGAGTCAAACCCCTGCATTGGGAAATAAAAAAATTGGGATGGAAATACAGCTTATTTTTAAAAAAAGGCAGCTCTGGAAATGCATGAAAAGARGCTGTTTGTACCTAAACTTGTCCAGATTTCAGTGGAAGGTGCACAGAAATGGGCTCACAGAGTGAAGTTCAGAGCAGGAGGTGGGCTGGGAGCAAGTGGAGCTGCAGAATGAATGTCAGGACACAGAAATGTTCAATCTGAGTCTGTCACCTGTGACAAAGAACACTAATTACCAGCTCAGATCATYCCCACATCAAATAAGCACGCTTTAACAACACTTCAGTGCTGCCTGTGTGGTATTTCTGTCTGTTGCATCATCGAGTGTCGCAGCTCATCCCACTGATTAATTGGCTTTTTGATTACTTAGCCTTTTCAATTAGAAGCTTCGTATTTGCGTTCTTGGGTGCTGCTGGAAAAACAATGCAGCCGTTGATGATAAAGGGAGATGACAACAGAACAGATTAGTGTCAGCCCRGCGTGCTCCTGACGGAGAAAATGATCCATATTCAGTGCCAGATGAAGCCTGTCAATTAGAAAATATTGCAGTGACTGAGGGAAGATGCTCAGCCTTTCCAGGGCATTAATACAGGACAGAATAACCCTGCACCGGTGACAGCTGCTGTAGTAAAACACAAACAGTTCTATTCTCCAGGGGAATAACTGTTCATAAATTTGGTTTATGTGCTAAAAACCTTTGGATACTTCCCCCAAACCCCTGCAATTCCCCTAACASCTGCCAGTGTTTCTAGGTCAGGGGTAGCACATCAGCTGTTGGTTATTGCAGAGAGTGGAACAGAGGAGTTCCAGAGCAGCCTGTGCTTCTGATCTGGAGCTGTGGTTGGAGTGTTCACACACTGAGCTTGGAGGGAAATCTGCCCCTGTTTTTGCATTGTCCACCTGTGGGAAGGTGGTTCTTCACAGCAAAAAAAAACCCCAAAACTGAGATAACAGTGGGGAAAGTGCTGGCCCTGCATTGTGTTAATTATTTATTTTAAAATGCAACGTCCTGCCTGGGGTCAGGGTGATCCCAGCACCAATCCAGGCAGGGGGAGAGTGAATGGAGCAGGACTGGAGGATTTTGGTGAATGAGAAGCTGGACATGTCCCAGCCATGGACACTGGGACCCAGAACCCCCCGTGGGCAGCAGGGAGGGGGATCCTGCCCCTCTGCTCCTCTCAGGTGAGCCCCCACCTGCAGAGCTGCCCCAGCCTGGGGAAAACAGCACAAGGAGCTGCTGGAGARTCCCTGGAGCCCCTCTGGATCAGGCTGGGAGAGCTGGGAATGTTCCCCTGGAAAAGGGAAGGATCCAGGGAGAGCTTCCAGAACATTCCAGGGGCTCCAGGAGAGCTGGAGAGGGACTGGGGCCAAGGGCTGCAGGGACAGGACACAGGGAATGGATCAGAGTGGAAAAGGGGAGATTGGGGGAGAAAGGGGATCTGAGGAATTGGGAATTCCTGGCTGGGATGGAATTGCCAGAGAATTCCTGGATCCCTGGCAGTGTCCAAGGCCAGGCTGGACATTGGGATTGGAGCACCCTGGGACATTGGGAGGTGTCCCTGCCATGGCAGGGATGGCACTGGATAATCCTGAAGATTTTTTTCCAACCCAAAGCATTCCATTACTCTGAAAGGAGAAAGTTGTTTTGGGATAAGAATCCCAGAGTGAACGCAGAGCCTTTCCAGGCAATGCCATTCCTGCCCCTGTCCCAGAGCTCGGGAGCTCTGTCTGTCCCTCCTCAGTGCAGTTCCTGCAGGTGAAGCTCTTCACTTTGGGGTGTTTATAGGACAAAGCAAACCCTCGTTGATCTCTTTGCTGTCTCTGACATTAAAAAGTGTAGGGTTTTTGGCACTTTCAGTGCCAGTTCCAAGCCCCAGTGCCTACAGACTCCATTCCTAACCATCTCTACAGCTCCAGGGCCACTTTTCTGGGCAATTCCAATTCCCACCAACTTTGCACAGGATTTTCCTGCAGAGCAGGTGATGTCCCAGTTTCCCTTCACCCCTCTGCTTTTCCTTTACAACATTTCTTACAAAGGAAACACGACCCTCTCCTGTTTCTCACTGTGGTTTTGGCCTCACACAGACACTCAACGAGCTGTGTCTGTTCCTGCTCTGTCTCTGAGACTGATGGGACTCCCCAGTTCCAATCTCCTCCAGCAATCCCAGATATTTTCATGTTGCTCTGCTTCCTAATGCTAATATGCATCATTARGAGAATCCTGCCCCAAGTCATGGGAGCAGAAGGAAATTAATTTTAATACCCTGCTGCATGACACAAYGACTTGGTTTATCAGTGGGAATGAGCAAGATATGGATCTCTGTATTAATCACAATATTTTCCACTGGAACCAGGTTTCTGTGCTCCTGAATGTCCTGGAAATATTTTGAAGTGTTGAGCAGTGTGGATGTGGTTATGGGGTGAGGTTATAGGATTATCCTGGGGCACAAATCTGAGGGGTGGCTGAGAGAGCTGGGAAAGGGGAAAAATCCTGGAAAAAAATCTGAAAAAAGGGGATCAGGGGGGACCTTGTGGCTCTGCACAACTCCCTGACAGGAGGGGGCAGCCGGGGGGGATTTGGGATCTCATCCCAGGGAACAGGGACAGGAGGAGAGGGAACGGCCTCAGGCTGGGCCAGGGGAGGTTTAGGTTGGATATTGGGAAAATTCCTTCATAGAAAGAAATTCCTTCATGTCCAACACAAGGCAGGGGTGGAGCCCCCATCCCTGGAGGGATCCCAAAGCC